CCTAGATATAGATATTAAAGATTTGAGTTTTATTCTGAGCCTAGTACTTAGAATATTTCGCTCAATATATTTTGTAGCTTGAGGAGAGCCGAGCCTCCATCAGCTACCTATTTCAGATATTTCAGCCTTTGCATTCGCCAGTTTCCAAGTGGGGACCACGTACTGTGTATTTCATCGCTTTTAATAATTTACCATGTCTGAGATCTATATGTGCTTAAATTGAAGGACCGAGACGGATGAGTGATCCCGTCTTGGTCAATATTTCAGTATTTCAGTTATGACTTGGATGTGTCTGATTAGGGTCCGTCCTAAGTCTAGCGTCCAGATGGGGTGATTAGTGCCTTTCCTGGATTTCTGTGGGAGGGGACCCCCAGAGTGTGCACATGAGTACCGGTTTACCGTTAGTCCCATAGTCAGACCAGTTTATTTATATATATGTTGATTCCATAGTTTATTATTAATTGTGCTGAGTATTCAGTGTCAGTTCCGGCGGAGCACTGTTGATTCCTTTGTGCTCACGCCTCCCCACTACCCTATTTTTCAGGTGATGGAGTCCCGCGTGGATCGTGAGCAGTTATGTGGTGTTGGTCCAGCTTCAGGACATTTTTGTGAAAACATGTCATATAGTATTTGAACGTGTTGAATTATCTATGTCTGTCTTATGTTTTGTGTGTGCTTTCCGAACTATTTCTGCTTCCGCATATTAGACCTGTGTTTCAGATGTCAGATTTCAATCTAGTATTTCAGATTTCAGATTATGTCAGATTTTCAGAATATGCATGATTAATCCGGTATTATTCATGGCCTTAATTCTAGAATGGATTTTACTTGGTCGCATGCATGTTAGATTAAAGAGATTACAGATATAAGATTAAAGTTGAGTAGCACCCCGTGTTTTAAAGTTAAAATATTTTCGAAAAATTAATATGAGTTTTCGAAGATTAAAGTAGTGCTTTCCAATTATAGCGCGAAAAATTTACTCTGATTTTAGTAAGTTTTAGGCGGGGTGTTACATCAATTCTCCTAGGAATTAAACGGGCAATGGCATATATCTGGAAAATACAACAACCGATGGAAGTGAAAGAGCTAAGTACAAACTTCTTTCAATTCATCTTCAGCCCGCTTGAAGATAAGAAGAAAGTCGCGGCAGGCTATAACTGGCACTATGAAAATCAATACTTAGTTCTGAAAGAGTGGTTTCAAGGGCTGACAGCAAATCATGAAGCGTTTGATGAGATTAAACTATGGGTTCAAATTCTAAATGTCCCAATTAATTGGATGAGTACTGAGGTGGGAATGAAAATTGGGAGTATTTTTAATGGCGTCAAGAATGTGAATGTCTGCAAAACAGGGGGTGGGCTGGGTAGTTTCCTAAAAATCCTTGCAGTAGTGGATACAAAAGAGCCAATTCCGAGGTGTACTAATGTGAAACTTGGGGATGAAAGGGTGCGAGTGGCATTTAGATATGAGAGATTGGTCAACCTCTGCTACTACTGTTGAAAGGTAGTGTTGGTGTTATATACTTAAGCTTTGCTTTAGTGGATATTACACTTGTTATTCCTT